GAGAGAGAGTTTGTTTCAGAGAGGCAAAGAATAGGGAGATGAGATTCTAAATGGCAAATATTGTAAATAAAAGTGAGTGAATAGAACTGGGCTACTATTCTTTACAGACAGTGAGGAGAGTAGGCAGAATTTCAGGCTCCTGGAGAGGAGGACTGAAAGTTAATTCTGACTAAGTGACAGCCTGAGAGAGAGCAGTGCAAGTAGTGAAAGATAATGGAGAGTTTTGATTACCAGGGAGGAAAATTCGGATTGGATCTTCAGAAAACAAGGAAGTTTTGGGAAGTTTCTGTTTAAGAAGCTAAATAGCCATAATGGAATTTTGGGATATTAATTAGGTTACCTTCAGAAAGAAGGTTTGTTTTCACAGGTGTTATGATGATTAAAAGGGCTACAGAATTAATTTTAGGAAAAAAGATTGAAAATGGGATTTTTTTTGTATATTATCACTTGAATTATCAAAACTGAAATAAAATGAAATTTACAGTTTATCAGTTTTCTCACCTTGACCTTAAATAAAAAATGTTACATGTACTGGAAAATCAGAGTTTAAAAGTAACTGTCAGGAATATCTGTGCTCAATCACCTCTTAATGAAGTTTCTTTAAAGACAGATATTAAATTTTGCTCTATACTTTTTCATTTTTTCCCAATACTTATCTGATTACTCTATCTGATACATGTTGTACTAAGTAATATCCGTTTCTTTCTCAAAACCAATCTTTTGTTCTAGTCGGCCTTAACCATCTTGGCTATCTTGAACATACCATATAAATTAAAAGGAAACGGTCACAGTGGCCATCATATCTTCTACTGGCTACCCTTGCAGAAGCGTAGCCAATACCTTTGACTTCCCAGAGGGCCATGTTCTCATGAAAACCATGAAGAACCAGAATGTATAGGTCCCCAAGGCTCTATAGTATCAACTTTGTGCATGGCCAGAATAAAAGAGAGAATGGCAGAGGATGGCCGCTGAATAATTTAGTAATCACAGATGATTTGGTGACTTTATTTAGTCTCACAAACAATCAAAAAATGAAATGCATAAACATCACAGTGCTCATGGGCCTACCAGGGTGCACTGTAAGGCCATGTATGAATCATGCAGGCCTAAAATGAGCCTCTGTGTGAGCACTCAGCTACGCCTGTGGCCTTAGCTTTGAACTCTGATATGCTTGTGATTTCTAAAAGCGTACAAGCCACCCAGGAATTTACTAAACACTAACCCTTAATTCTGGACCTGCCTACTGGGCATTTCACCCTGTTGCATGTGTCCTGGATATGTCCATATCAAATGAAGATATCAATGTTGAACTCATTTATCATCTGCCAAAACCTCGTTTCTCATTCCATGTTCTTCATTTCAAATCATTGCAGTGCTGCCCACCAGATTGACAAAGCTTAAAACTTGCAGGTTTTTAAATGATTTAACCCTGTCAACTCTCCATCAGGTTGTATAGTTTCTATGTCTTCTTACAGTTTGTAATGCCTTTGAATTTCTATTGTAATTGCCGTGGTTGACACCTTCAGAAACCTCATAAGCAGAAAGACCTAGTTACAATCCCAGTTCTGCTGCTTTCTCAAGTTGAGCAAGACATTTAGATGATTTTCCTTATCTAAAAAAAATGTGGATCTCTTCAGAATGTTTTTGAGGACTGCATGAGATAGTCTAGGTAAAATTCCACAGGGTACATGGCTCATAGTAGATATGCAATGAAGGGTCAAACTCATGTTCATGATCATACCTCACTCAGCTTGACCTGCATCTGGCACATAGTAAGTGCTCAATATATGTGCATTATAAATATTAATGTTGTAATCATCTTCATCATCATCATCATCATCATCATCTCCCTGCCCCCAAACCTGTACCCTAATATTCCGTTCTCCATTCCACCATTAGAATCTACATAGCATACAAATATCAGCTCCTTTTCTCTCCTAATCTTTCAGTGGTGCTCTCACCCACAGGCCAGGCTTTTCTGGATCAACATAACTGCCGTGGATCTGGCCTCGTCTTCATTTCCACTCTCATTTGTGCTGCTCAACACAAACTCCTTACATTGAGGCCCAGGAAAAGTCTGCATTCCCTCCCACCCCCACCAACAAATAAAAGGCTATTTTCTTTTATATCTCTATTAATTACCTTTATCTCAATCAGAAAATTCTAACACAGCATTTAAAATTTACCATAGTAGCCTACTACTTCATATAACGCTCTGTGCCTCCCCAAGCAGAATTATATGCTTCCAGCTTAACTATTGTAATCTTGTCTTTGTACTTTTGAAGTAGAAATAATGGTTTGGGGTATTGGAAAATTATAGGAAAGACAAACTGTAGATAGATAGATGATAGATAGATAGCTAGATAGATAATAAATCTATGTCACATAATCTGAAAAAGTACATAATCATATCACTTAATACTATCCTTATGTTTATGCTACTGATTTCTCTATGTAGGACCTGTATGTATTGAAAATTATTAACACTTATCAGGAAAATGTCTTTGTTTTCCATAATTCCTAAGTCTTGCTTAGGACAAGCAGCACTTTGGCAAAGTATGTGTATGGTACAAATCCTGGCCTGTGAAATAGTAATACTAGTTGATTCACACAATGTGCCAGTAACTTTGGCCTCACTGTCAGCCAAAGCAAACTAAGATTTACAATCATTTTAAACTGTGAGAAGTAGAGAAGACTGGTTAAGAAAATGGGCTCTGATTTGAGAGACTCCAAGTTCAATGTATGGTCTACTACTACTTACTAGCTCTGTGATCTTGAATACATTCCCTTTCAGAGACCCTTTCCCTAGAAAATGGAAATTAGAATAGTACCCCCACAAAATGATTATTGTGAGTATCAAATGAGGTGATATGAGTTTCGTTTTAAATGTAAGCTGTAAAAACTTTTAGACACACAGGTCTCACAAAATTACCGTAGGCCACATTTAGCATCAGTCTGCTGAGAAGAATATAGAACAAGAACCAGAACTTGGCCTCATTGTAGCATCAGACATTCCTCAGCTAGTTGAAATACTCACAGGTGCAGGTATCTCTGGAAATCATCTCATTAGCCTAGTGCAAAGTCTCCACAAAAAAACAAGCCCTGTTCTAAGAGGTGCCACCTTCAGGGAAGCCCAAAGCTGTGTCTGCCTACCAGGCGTTTATAGTTTCCTCAGTGCAGATGGCATTTATCCAAAGGGGTCGTTTTATCATAAACAACATGATCCACTAACATAGCTGACATTTCAACTTTCATCCGGTTACCAGGGTAAGTGTAACTGGAGGCAGTTAACTGATAATCACATTCTTTATAGAAAGTTAAAAGGAATTGCCAATCCTTTGCCTGTGCATACAATATGAACTTAATGTGCATTATATAAAGGATCATATATGCATGCATATGTATATGAAAACAATCTCATGAAGGTTGGGAATGTATCTAAGAAGAAATTAAATAGGGAGAATTTTGTAAAAGAGGAGTTATGGAGGTCAGCATTTGGACACAATTTGCCTGATTTTCATGGATCAACTCCTAAGTATAAGAGTGAAAACTTGCTTATCATACAGAAAGTTTTGCTTTTTGGTTCATGCTGTACCTAATACACCATTAATAGTCAGTAATGACCTTTTAGTAAAAGTGGGATTTTGGTTGTTAGTAGAAAAACAGAGCTGACTCCTGAGGCCCTTCGACCACCACTCTCAGATGGTCCTTCTTCCCAGTCCTCTCAAGACAGACAAGTGGACTTTGATGCTTTGAGCTCTGTCTCCTAAGAGTGCACTTTTCATATATATGCCAGTAGAATCAAGATTGAATGTGAGTTGTTACATGAACATGGACCCACCTCTCTGTATGGTTGATATAGCACCTGAATGACAAGGCAGAATTATCAGCGCGCTCTCCCATTGGAACAGATAGCTCTATGCTGGCGACGGGCTGCCTGTGTCTTGTAAACTTGCACTATGGCTTTTAAGAATGGACAAAAGTCCAACTAAGAATCAACCCAAGGCCACTGAATTCCAAGAAAACTCAGAGTGCATATGCCCTTAGTCATTGATATCTATGACATCATATTTATCTTACATATCTTACATATATACATATCTTCATATGTAGACATTTCAATTTAGAATCCACATCTCTCCAATTCAAAGAGTACAGAGAGTTTGAACATGAATGCTATACTGATAAAAAATATGAGAGATCTATTTAGACTATATCTCTGCAGTAATATAGATATAAATAGATTTGTGTTTCTAATGCTTATGACATATTTAAGATACCCATGTGTATTCTGTATATTAAAGTGCGAACTGGAAAAGTTGATGTATTTGAATAAGCATAGATTACAATTGTGACAACTAAAGTTTCAAATAGTAAAGGTAATAGTAAGCATATATTACATTACTGTTCTATACAAAACTATATTGCATTAAGTTATCCAAGGATGTTCATTTAAACCACAAAACAAAGGGCCAGCCGAGTGGTTCAATTGGTTAAGAGCTCACTCAAGAGTGCAAGCTCTGAGCAACAGCAGTTCAATTCCTGGCCCGAGCTGAGTTGTCACTGAGCTGCCTACAGGTGGCAGGATGGCTCAGGTAAAAATAAAAATAAAATAAAAATAATAAATAAACCACAAAATAGAATGGAAATTATCATATGTTAACAGTTCTTTGTTTCTCATTTTCTAAATTAAAACAAATCTGCAATGAGTGAAATGAAAAATACGGTAAACTTCATTTCAGCTCATTTTGGTTAGTCCCTTTATTTTCTGTGTCCTGTGAATGGCTTAACAACTCCTATAAAATAGGAGGAAATGCAAATATTAGCTGAGAGTCTAACTGCTTTTACACATCATAAATGTTGATATATTTTCAAAGAAATTAGAATTGCACCTGCAAGTAGAAATAAAAATGTCCAAGCTGATTTCACTCTGCAGGGTAGAAGACAAAGTTCGTAACTGCCTGTGAGCCTGTGATGAGAATATCGATGTGCTTTTGCAGCTTTTGCCAGCAAGAGAAGCTGCCCATGACCTTCCAGTCCTGTGTGATCACCAAAGAGTGCCAGGTATCGGAGTGGTCAGAATGGAGCCCCTGCTCAAAAACGTGCCATGACACGGCGTCCCCTAAAGGCACTCGTGAAAGGACACGGATCGTCAGAAAGTTTCCTATTGGCAGTGAGAAGGAGTGTCCAGAACTTGAGGAAAAAGAGCCCTGTGTGTCTCAAGGAGATGCAGCTGCCCCCTGTGCCACGTGAGTAAATACAGGACTGCAGCCTCTGCCGCCCTGCCTACCCAAATTGCATGTTTGTCCAGCTGTTTAATTCCAGCTGACCAGTATGCTGGGAAATAGTGATTTCTACAAATTCTAATTGGAAAAATCAAATATCTCTTTATAAACACTATCCTAAAAAAAATGGTTTTACAAAATAAAAGTCTTTAACAAGCTGTATTTCCAAATCTCCATGAAGGCTAGATTTTAGCAGCAATTCTGTGTTTATATATTTTCTGTAATAGGTGTTGGCAAACTCTTTTGGTAAAGGGGAAGATAGTAAATATAATAGGCTTATGGGCTACATATGCCTCTGTCACATTGACCCAACTTTGTCATTGAAGCTTTAGACAACATGTAAACAAATGAGTGTGGATGTGTCCCCATAAAACTTGATTTACAAAAACAGGGGACAGGTTGGATTTGGTCATTAGGCCATACTTTGTCTACTGAATTTTATAAGGTAAAATAAACTTTCAAAATATAGGTTCCCGCCACTTCATAAGCAAGTCCTATTAACGTGCAGTCCTGTATGTAACAAATCCTATTGAATAGAATGAAATACTACATCAAAATTATGAGACTTCAAGCTCCTTGAAGACAAGGACTGTGTTCTTTTTTTCTTTCTCTTTTAAATCTTAAGCATATATCACAAGGCCTGACACACAGCAATTGCCCAATAAATATTCACTGAATTCAGATAAATAAGACTAATTCTGAAATATTTAGCAGTATAACCATATTCTTTTTGTCCTTAAAAAAAAACACATCATTTCCAAGACACTACTGTGAATTATCTTGTCAATAAGTACATTTCAGCTTAGTCTGAATGTGGAATATATTTTTTTTTAAAGATTTTTATTGGGGAATTGGGAGGATGGGAACAGTGCTGGGGAATTGGGGGGAAGGGGAACAGACAAGTTGCTGTCGTTTTTTGTTCTTCAGTCTAGTTGTGGAGGACGTTGCTTCACTGGCCCAAGTTGGCATCATCATTGCGCTCTTCCCGGGCGAGGCAGATCAGTCGCCAGCTTCTGGACGGCTGCTCACTGTGGCTGCTGGCCGCTCACGCTGGCTGCTGGCTACACACGGTAGCCCATGGCAACCCACTGCCACAGGGGCTGCAGCCCACGCCGTCGCCGGCGACCCACGGCAGCCCAGCTCCAGGTTGAGCTGTTGTTCAGCATCTTAGCTGTAGAGGGCAGTGTCACTGGCCCTCATATGTGGGATCCGAACTGGGGCCCTCTGGCATCCCAAGCGAGTTCTTAACCATCGTGCCACTCGGCCGGCCCTGAATGTGGAATATTTTTAAAAACAACTTAGAGAATCTTAGTTTCTCAATAGCTATAGACAAGCTTCAGTGAGAGCTTCTCTGGAATATTCTAAACATTTAAAGAACATGTATATAGCCACAACTTCATGACCCAGTGAGGCAGAAAATTACTGCTATCCTCCTACTGCTCTTTCAACAATAATAACAACAGTAGTAATGAAGATAGTGATGATTCATGAGATCTCCAGTTCTGCAACAGTCTGGAGTCATCCATTTTCCCCTGAGGTAACAAGTGACTGCAAACCCCAGAAAGCTTCCTTCGTAACTCCTGTGCCAGTCGCACTGACCGTGTGTTCCTCTCCACTTAATGGGCACAAGGAAGTTGCCAGGGTCTCTAATTTTGTCTCAAGTTGGGTGTTTTAGTCTTTATCCTCTCACATAGCAAACAACAGTCACAAAATAAAGATATATTCTGAGTCTCTTTCTTTTCCCTCTTTTGGGAGGGTAGCATTTTTTAGAATGTGTATGCAATTTACATTATTGAAAACGTATTCCTTTCACAGCACTCCTTAGGGTGACCTACATTGGTACTCCATACAATAAAAAATAAAATAAAATTTTCACTTTAACTCCCCTAATGAATGACTTGTTTGGTTTTCCTTTCCTTACAACCCCACCCTCTGCCCAAGGCATCAGTCACCCATGTTTTCAGAATTGACCTGAGTGCTGTACGTCCTTTATAAACACATGCCAGGAGTTATTCCTTGATGTCCCGGTTGTGCATCTCTGCTAAGCCACAACTCCCTACTTAAAAATGAAAAACGGGCATGCAGGTCAGCTTTACAGTCACGAAACTTGACCATTGACAAAGTAAAGCACTAGATCAGACATCCGAGGGCCCATTTAATCTTTTTGTCTAATTGAGATGGACATTAGCACATCCATTTCTACGTATACTGGCTGTTAATCTGATTAGTAACGAAGCATCTTGGTTAAAGTGACACAAAGTGCTTCATGAGCCATTTTCCTTGTGCTTTTAGAATATCCACTTTCCTTGAGGTATGCCGTTACTTTCTGTCTTCAGTGGCATTGGGAAATGGTTTCTGGGCTGTCTTCTTGGAGCACTTGTTGAGTTGACAATCTACTGACATTTCTTCCGCATCCTAATCTTGATTGGAGCTTTAATTTAGAATCACAGATCATCTTTCCTGTGTTCCACTGATTAGAAGTGTCAGCTGTTTTCATCATGTGTCAGCACTCATCAGGGATGCTCAGTGCTACAGAAAAACACTCAGCTTCGTGACAATAAAGAGAAAACTCTGAATTGTTATGTTTTTTAATCCTAACACACAATTATAATTTTGATCCAGTGTGAAGAAACAATTTTCATACATTTTATTAGAGGCAAAACAAATGTTTGGGTGGATCGTCATTTAGAATGTTTTCTAGTCTCAAATTCAATCCTTCTTTGTTTATAAGCATCCAGGAAGGGCAAGCCTGAATTCACTTGAACCAAACATAAAATTTCATGTTTTCAGCATTATGCTCTCCTTTCATAAAATATTGATAAGCAACTTCCAGGAGTTGCAATTAAAACAAGATCACCCTAAATTTAACCCCTCTTTAAATGGAGCACTGCTGAGGATAAAGGAGAGGTTAAAACTGAATCTGCACCATAGATGCAGTTGGTAGTCTACCACTGATTCAAGAGGAAAATGTTTTTTAGATTAATTTTCTTAGGAAAAAAATATGAGAAGAGCAGAGAAAAGTTTTACTTGATAAACATGGCCGCCACTGCTGGTGTTTTCTTTATTTAGATATGGCTGGAGAACCACAGAGTGGACCGAATGTCGCGTGGACCCATTGCTCAGTCAGCAGGACAAAAGGCGAGGCAACCAGACCGCCCTCTGTGGGGGAGGGGTCCAGACCCGAGAGGTGTACTGCGTTCAGACCAATGAAAACCTCCTCTCACACTTAAACACCCACAAGGATAAAGAAGGTAAACTTGATTTTCTTCTCAAGGATCTCACATGAAAACCCAGCATGGGATGACCCATGGAGGGTATATACGCAACTCTCTGGGGGCACGAATAGCCATATTTCTGTTCACATTGTGGTTGATATCTACTATGGTGAATAGTTATCTAAATTTCGGTTGTAAAAATTTAAGCCATTCCATCTTTGGTTAATTCCGATTTATTGACAAGTCTCACTGAATTTTCTGACTTCAGGCTCTGAGTCAAATTTTAGTAGCAGTAATTAATTATAAAAATAGAATAGAAACTCATTTTGTAAGTATTTGTGAAGAATGTAAGTATATATGCTAAAGCCCAAGTTTTCTTTTCTTTGTATAAGAAATAACACCTGCTTGCTAAAAACACCTTCTTTTGCTGTTTATAATGTGGTTGAGAAGAATGTTAATTATAGTATTGAGTGAAATTTTCTGTTTGAATTTAAATGAACTAATTACAGAATAAAACTACGGTAAAAAAAAAAAACAATTTTAGCCCAAAGGTAGGAGTTTTTTTAAGACCATTTAATTAAACACACCTTAGAATTTTGTTATTGTTGTTTAATTCTGTTTTACATCAGTTGTGATAAATATGTAATAGGATAAGTGAGTCCAAAAAAAAATTGCCAGGGCTAAATGTATATATTATTATGTATTAACTATTAATATTACTCTAAAATTCTAGTCATTATTGGATCAAGTTTATATTCATTTAGTAACTTTAAATCCACACAAATATGACTATTTTTAAGCCATGTTGTAAGCAGATCCTCTTAAATTTCTCTCTACCTGAGGGATAGCAGGACTTCTATCCCTAATCTATTCAGCATATATCTTTCAGTTGCCAACAGAGTTCCAAAACTTGTGTAAGGTGGTGAGGATAGAAATGTCAGTACAAATTTTACATCAGGAAAGTGCTCATGGTCAGCATGAGGACACACAAACAAACCGATAATTATAATACAATATCATATGCATTGTAAATGAGTTTTAGAATAACTGTAAGGGGATCACAGAAACAGAAACCTTCATAGAGGAAGGAAGTGGCACTTGAGCCAAGTGATGATATTCATGCTCCCTACAGTGACGTGGGCCAGGAATGCAAGAAGGACTCTATTCCAGGCAGAGGGAACAGCGTGTATGAAAGCACATCATTAAATAAAAGCAAAAACAAAAGAGAAATTTTGCCAGAAAAGATGAGTATGCTGTATTTAGCAATTTGTAGGTATGATGGGATAGTATTTCCCAGCAAATATTTTGTTTGGAGAGGGAAAAGAATAAAGACCCTGGTTGATACCAGCAAACAAAAGGACACCCTCTCCCCAACAACAACAACAACAACAACAACAAAAAGAATATTTAGAGAAGGAACCTGATCAAGAATGACCAGAAAAGAAGGAAAAGAACCGAGAGAAATGAATATTTCAAAAAACAAAACCAGAGATGTGTCTTCTGCCTCCCCAAAAAGGAGTGGCACCAGTGTCCAGCAATTCATGGAAAATTGGGTCGCCATTTTGCATTTGCAACTTGCAAAATTTAATTGTTTTATATCCACTAACTTTACATAGCATGTCAACTCATTTAGAAATCTAGCCTAGGGATGTATTTTACTACTAATGTATCTTGAAATTGTAAGGAAGTAGCATAAAACATTTAATGTTAGTGCATTAATATTTTCTTGGCCACTTTAATGGGTACATTTTTAACACTCTTAAGTGGATTTATTATAGCAGTCCTTTCAGAGTAGTATAATTTCATTGCTAGAGGTAGATCAGATTTTAGTTTCTGAATGTCAATTATGTCCTGTAGGTTATTACTTTCAAAAGAGCCTCCAGAATTCTGAATTGCAACTCCATATTTTTAAAAATCGTGGAGTTCCCCTACTGCTGTCAAAGCCCTGCAGTGCACCAAAAATAAAAGTCACACAAAAAAAGGAAACAAAAAGAGTATAATTGTTAAGATGTATGTGTTGAACCAAGCAAATGCCAGATCAATGATCAGTCGATATGGAAATGATCAGGTCTCCTAAAATTAATATTTATCATGTAAGTATATACCACGAATAGCTTAGAAATGTATGTCTTTTCATGTCAAATATCAAGCCTCTTCTAGTCTGCAAAAAACAATTGATTCTCCCTAAAAGTTGCAGCTCTTTTTTTCTCACAACTTAGGTTATATGAGTCTCTCTCCAGAAGCATTTAACATTTCCCAATATGAAACTTATTCCATATACTAGCTTCCCAAGGATGACACGCAAAGACTATAAAAATGGAAAACAATACTACTGTGGGCTGTGAAGATTGTTCATAGTCTTCTTTCAATAAACATGAAAGAATGAAAGCTTACTTCCTAAAGAGGGGGAACCCTCTCAAAATAACTCCCTAAATCACTTCTAATAAGAAGGTGCTCATCTCAAGAAACCCCAGCTCTGTCACCATGAGCAGCTACCCTCAGAGCAATTCGCGTTATGCTTCGTTTGAAGAACAAAGCCTGTACTGTTGTTTTTGCAGATTCATACCTGTGTCCTAGGAAAGTTGTTTTCACCTGTATCGGAGCTATTAAAAATACTGTAACTCAAAAAAAACCCACTTTAACACAAAAATAAAATTTCTTAATACAAAAATATTGAACACAAGTGATATGAAATTCACACAAACTTCCATTATTATCTTGGCACGTCGTATTACAAAGTAATGACCCCTTAGCATGAGGGCAGGGCACTGTTTATTGGCATATTCACTGCTGTTAACTGACTCACACGACACTAGGCCGTAAAAATTCTCCTCCTTGGAGATAATATACCCGGGGGTGAAGGGGAGGGCCCCCAAAAATGTATGCACATTTTAAGAGACGGTCAAGGTTGCTCAAGCAGTATTTTGCCATAATCGGAAGAGTCTGGACGCTGATGGTAACCACTTTGAGCACCTCTTGTAATTGCAGAAGTCGAACATGACTTGTATTCATCTTTTGTTATCAGTATATATTGAGTATTACAATTTTAATAGAGTTTTCCTTAAAATGTGTATGCATTTTTTTTGGCACCCTCTGTATTTAATTTCCAGAAAATCAAAATATGTATGATTAAAGTACTCAGTATATAATGAATGATAATCACAACTTGGTATCCTATCTGTATCAATTGCATTATATCATCAGAATGTTTGTTAAGTTGATGATACCAGCTATAAGTAATAGGGCAAATACATCTACTTGATATTGGAGAGTAGCTAAATTTTATTCGTATACTGCTGTGGGCCATAATAACCCTCTCAATGCTGACAACGGAGAGGAGTTAGTAGTACAACCTTTGACTGTGTGTGTTCAGCCGGCTGATCAGAATTCCCATAGGCTGTGAAGAATGGCCAGCTTATGCTGCCAGGAAATCTACCTTTATCAGAAATTGACAGGAAGAAGCCTTGCCCATGGGGAGGTTATCAGTGTAAATTCTAGACAGCTGATGAAAATGCTGCTGATTGTTGCATGCATGAACATGAACTGATTTTTTTTTTTTTTTTTACGAAGTGGAGTAAAAGTAGATTTTACCTGTAGTAACTCAAGAAATTCTGCCATTTGATACATAATTGAACATGTTTTTACATGAGAGAAACCAAAAATATTGGTTATAAAGCACCATGAAGCTTACCATGATTTATACGCGTATCACAGGCAACTTAAGAACACGCTTTTGTAGGAAACATATCAAATAATCCAGAGTGAAATATGGATGATGTCTGTGAGATTTGAGGTTATTCAGGAAGACAGGCGGTATAATAAGCTTGTATCGTGACCTAGAATGAGATAAACTGGCAGCAAGATGTGGAGGATCAATGGAAATAAGGATGGAGGGAGGGATGATTGAACTGTGAATGGGCAGACAGAAAGGCGATAAGGAGCTCGTGTTTTCCCATGTCCTGCAAAGTAGTAAGGAGACTAAAATAGTCATATCCCTAAATGGAATGCAAATTCTTTACGATTATAGTATTTTATCTACAGTTCCCACAAACCAGTCCCCTATAGTCAAAGCTACTTAAAAATAAAAAGCTATGCTTATGGTGCTATTTTCCTGTTATTTCAGAAGGTAAATATCAGAGTTAGCTGAAGTCTAGTGTCACACCTTTCCTATCCATCAATTTTGAAATAACAGGTAGGTGAGCCTATTTTTACATGACATCTCAATCAGAAATGTGTATCAGAGATTCTCTACACATTCCCCGATACAGTCCTTAAACTATCTAGGAAATCTTTTTCACTTTCTATTTTGCTAGGAATATACCAAAGCAGTCCCATGAAATAGAAATGACTTCATGTTTCTTGACTTTCTATAACATCATTAGATAAATGTAAGTTATAGATAAAAAAAAGGATTTTAAATTTAATGATGTAAAAATGGCACTAGGATCCCTAATTATTTGAACAGATATATAGTTTGTTTATGAACACTTTTGTTGAGTAAATTAATGAAGGTAAGAACACTTTTCATAATGTATCCTATTTCTAAGCACATCACGTTGTGCTCTGCTCTTCTTAATATGGGAAATGCAAAAGGTGCTACAGCACACAATGGCTACATCTTGGAAACATAGCCTACACTGATGCAGGGAGATATCCAAAGCAGTGTAATGTAATTATAGACTAATTAAAATACAGGAAATGCCTGAAGGAATCAGACCCTCCTAGGAAATCAGCTCTCTGGATATTTTGTGGAAGAGAAGAGCTGTTACCCTATGCAATTTCGATGTGATCAGTAGATTACAAAATGGAAAGTAAGGTGCCAAGAGGTTGAAGCCACTGGGATGGAAGCTAACAAAAATTTACATGCTGGGAATTAGATTCAGCGGGACAGCAGTCTACCCCAGAGGTAACTTAGAATTTTTAGTAAAGGAAGAGCTTGCTAACGAGATGTTGGGAAGTATTCCACCAAAAGGCAATCAGAGAAAAATAAGGCAGCTCGGAAGTCATGCAAACATGAAGGCAATGCTTATACTACC